ACCTCTGCCACACAACATTGGTCACAATCGTCTCTCAAAAAATACAAAAATGTGTCTGTCCATATGTCCATTGCTATCAATAGACATAGACCATTTTTGGAAGGACAATGAGGAAAATATTCTACATATGTCCACCAAATTTCATCAAAATCTGATCATTTTTGGATGAGTTATAGAGCAAAAATAGTGTGAAAAATTGGTCCCCATATTAACAGATTGGGTTTTTATGACCTTAACCTTTGACACTTCAAAAACTAATCATTTCTAAGTTGGGTTATATTCAAAGAATATACCAACTTTTGTCCAAATCCACACACAAAGAAGTATAAACATAACTTCCATCTACCTTTGGTGGTAGAAGTAATAACATTTCATTGATCCATTAGTAAATACCTCCTACAATCTTTCCTCTTTACAAGCAAAAACAAAAAAAAAGGGGGGAGAGTGAGGCTACATTAAAAATATTTTTGACCAATTATATCAATTATTATTAACCATGATATTAATTTTCCTGTTTTCAGTCAAATCATTTTTCTTTTTAAGTAGTTTTAAATTACCCTTTGTTTTGCATGACAGATCTCTTCTGAAGGTTGCCATTTGCACATCTTGCAAAAGAATGTATATATTTTTTTTGTCTTAAAAATATTTTGCCACAATTTTTTTAAGATAAACTGGACATTTCTGCTTTGAAAATGTTGACCAACTATCACTATATGGTTGCCATTAAGTTTTGATTTTAAAATATTTAGTAATTCCACACTAATCTTTTGTAAATCAAATAAACTGATAATACAATAATGAGAACGTGTCTTAGTATCATCAATAATAATGGTAATAATGTTTATATTTGAAACATATCATGAGTGCAATTACAAATGATTAAGTGTTATCATTCAATATATTTATGTACATTGTCTGAATACAATAAATATAAAAATAATATTCATTAAAGATTTGAGACACCAGAAGTTTCTATAGTTGCTTCACATACTAAACAGTAAACTTTACTTAACATATCTAGTTCAATAACAATTTTATGTAATTTGGTAAACATAAAAGAAACAAAAATTCATATTTACAAACATTATATCCCATTAAAACTATAGCATATCTATTATACAGTAAAAAAAAAGTAATTTTAAAAAATGAACCAAACTTCAAGAACCTACCTTTATTAAGCATTAAGCAAATTCCAGTCATGCGACATCTTGCTTTATACTGTATATATATATATATATATATTATTTTTTTTTTTTCCTTTGTCTCGGTAAACTACTTGTACCTGATAATGGCAAAACTGTCTCCAAACATTTGTCTTCAAAGCTATGTTTCATTGGTAAATGATCAAACCACCTGATATGACACCTTTCAACAATGGCCTGTATAAAAACTAATGAAAATTCTTGAAAATAAAAAAAATAGATAATATGCTCTCAAAAGGATATAGGTTTCTAAAAAGTTATTCTTTGGAATAGGCAAAAACATTTTTAAAAAATCAACAAGTGAGTTTTGTTTACAGGTGAAACTCTTTGCAGCTGTGCAAAACTGAAAACAAGAACTTTTTTCATGAATTACACTAAGTGTCAGAAAATGACAAAATGTCAACTCTAAAATATTTCTCAGTTACATTTATTGAAGAATAGTTGAAATTAACATATGAAATAGACTTTACAATTTATGTCTGAATAAGTTTTAGCAGGTGGCAAAAAAATATTAAAATATATTGCACAAAACACAACTGAATTGTTTAATAACTGGAAAAAATTAAAAGATTTGTTCACTTCTCAGTCACCTGTTGCAAAAATACTGTGTACACTTTTCCAAGTTTGTCATTTCAGGTAAGTGTGAACTGTTTTACATGTTTACAATAATGTTGGGAAATGAATAATCATAATTTATTATATCTATTAGACTTATCCAAAATAAAAACCAAGTATTTTTTGATATTTTTCAAGTAGCTTAAAAATTAGAATAACATCAATTTATTTTGTAAAATAAAGCTTCTGACAGAATTTATCTTACAAAGTTTCAAAACTGTTAGGGAATGAATAACAATAACAATTCAGATAATATAGTATTATTGTGTAAACAACTAATTATTATGTTTAATTTCTCCACACAAGCTGCAATAATATTTAATATTCCCGATAGTATGATACCAGTTAACTGTTTAAAAGCTAGCTGTGTAACAGTGTAACCAAATTTTCAGGATTTTCTACATGAAAGAAGAGACTTCTACAACAATAATATAGTATTTTGAATTATTCAATTGACCACATAGTCCTAAAGTAACCTCAGCAAGTTAAATAAAGTTCAAATAATGTTAATATATTCTATAAATGATTAGCTCAGTCAGGTTATAATCCAACTATTTCAAAGCTTTTATCTATATTACTAGTAATGTGATTGATTTAAAAATGAAAACAGTTAAGAAGAAACATTTAAAATTTTTAAATTAAAATTAAATAGTTTATATATTTTTTTTCATGTTTGAAAAAATGATAGCAATGGCAAACAAGAAAGTTGTTTTAAAAATTATTTTAAGATGTTGTTACTTATACAGTAATACCACTTTCATTTTCACTTATTTTTGACATCAATAATAAGAAATACATATTTTCACTAGAATTCTAACTTCTAAACAGTATTTACTTTGACTAAAACAAATCTCTACAGTTTAGACCTACTGATAATGTGTCTGGAAAAAAGCCAAAGCACAAAAATTTTCCATGGTAATATTTAATCAACATTCATATTATTGTATTATCTTAGAAATAGTCTGTTACTGGCTGAGGCCTTAACTGGAATGCTGTACAATCCAGCTGTGTTTATTTCAAAACAGCTCTTACATTAATCAAATCAAATAAAAATTAATGTATAATGTTTCTTTTTGATACTAGATGGAAGTTTAGCAATGTCTGGATGTTTATTTTACAGTTTATGACAAAACGAAGGCATTCAGAACCCCTACATCTCATCTACTTATACAACATCATATAACACAGTTATTACTTTCTTAAAAACATGGGTGGAAGAATTGGCATACTGGGCACCTTCACTAAATCTATGCCTGTTTGTACAAAATTAAAGAGTGCAGTTATCAATTCCTGAAAAAAATAGATGGCATCTGGACTCCTTAATCCCCTCCCCTAGATTCATGACTGTTTATCTTAAATCAAAGAACAGAGTTATTAATTTCCAAAAAACATATCATGGGTCTGGACCTCCTAGACCTCCTCTAAACACATGCTTGCTTCTGAACTATTAAACTGTCCACGTAAACTTAATTTCACAGTATCTACTGTGCTGAGTTGATTGCATGGTATTTCACATAATGCTGATAAAATATAGATATATTACAATAACTCAAAATCTAGAGGAGATGAACAAATTCTGACTACATTTTTGAAATTAGCACCATCATATTACCCCAAATCACTTGAGTTTTCTCCAGTAACAAATATTCTGTTGTCCAGTGTTAATAACCAATGTCAGGAAGTAATGTTTATTTTATCTATAAAAAATTTAGCAGTTTTATTATAGAAGTGTTATGGAAAGTTGTAGAGAGAAACTCTTATAATGCTATTACTCATATTCTAAGCTTGTTCAGGTTATGTACCATGATACAAGTATGATACATTTTCATTTACAACAGTTTGTTAAAAAAAATAATTCAATCATAAACTATTTTCTCTGGTTTTTCATATTTTTATACCATAACTTTCACCAATGAATTTTTTTATTTCGCTACTTTACACATTTTATTCAACACAAATAGTTAAGTATATCTTATAGGTTAATTCTAGCTTGGTTTCAAACTTTCACTCATAAATATTTTAGAATTGATAGTTTATTATATTCTAAAACTTTCTTCCTGTAATTCAGAAAGAAAATTAAAACTGCTTTTAAATTTTCACTTCTGTCTGCAAACAATGCACTTTTTCATTTTATTTTTCTGCCCATCCAAAAGCTTTACTTTGCATATAAACTATCACTCCATGCAAATATATTATCAATTTTTTCATTTCCAAGCATTTCCCTTGGTTGCCTTTTTTTATGGTATCACATCAGGTGGTTTCATCATTTACCAATGAAACACAGCTTTGAAAAGGCTATAAAAAAGTTTAAATATGATTGAACAGAGCAAGAATTGATATTTTCACATCATAGTGGAGTATATAAAGTGGTGTGAGTAGTACTTTATGATTTGTTAGAAAGTTTCTAGTTGAAACTCCTGTAGCATTGTAGATCTGGTTTTTCTTATAGTTTCTTTAAAATGTTTTTCATTTGTGAAAGTGTTTGTTATTTAAACTGAATGTTTGACAGCTACAGACATTTTCTTTGATAAGAAGAATCATAAAAGCTTAATTACATTTAATGAGTATAAGAAGTGATGGCAAAACATTATAATGACTCAAACTTTAATTACTGAATATTATTTTTGTTTATCTATTCAAATAATGTAAATAACTACAATAAATTGGTTACTTAATCTAATTGAAATTGTGAAATGTTTTAAATAAAAATATTATTACCATTATCAATGAAAGTAAGACATGTTTTCATTATTTGATTTACACAAGATCAAGGGGGGATTATAGCACATTTTAAAAACAAAGTGATGCCCCTGTAGTTGTCTCAACATTAATAATTCACCAGATAGGACATGTTCAGTTGTATCTAGTTGTTGCCAAAATATGCATTTTCCAAAAAATGAGCCAGTGACAACTGGTATATGTAAATCATATTAAGTGAAGGGTAGCTTAAAAATGACTTTAAAGGAAAACAAAATTAGCTGAAAATAGGAAGATTAATTTCATGAGAGAATAACTGATTAGTTGAATGTAACTGATTTATAAGCTCAACAGTGAATCAAGTGGCAAATTTCACTAACCACCCAGCTTTATGCAATATTCAAGTAAATTTCATTACAGGTCAATTTTTATAAATCTACTATAATATTATCACATGCATAGATAACACTGCAATAAATATCTCACCATTTCGTGCAAATGGATTTATTTCTCGAATTGTAACAACATGAGCTAGCATATCACACAACCACTGAGGATCAAGGAAGTAGAGGTCTTTTAAAGTTGCATCTTCATAATGTAAAAGAACACCTAAAGAAGACACTATGTGTATCAGTTAAAATGAAGTACTATTAGTTTAAGAGTTGGAGTAGAATTATTCAAGACTTTAAGCTAAGAGATAAATACCAATGTAATTCATTGGCTGTAAAAATTCATAAAAGTAAAATTCAACAAGTAACATTAATCTTTTGACAAAACAAAATTAAAAAAAAAAACACTTATGTAAAATAAATGAAAATAGTGTAAAATAGAACTCAACAAACAGTAAAAAGTTGAATTTTTATACAATTTATTAACTTTCATTTTTTGTTCAAGAAAACTTTAATTATTCATTGAGGCCACACCAACTCAGTTTAAGACAGTTAAGTAGGTAAGCCCTTTTTTCTTGGTTTTAAGAACTATCCATAGTTTCTTTCAGGATAACATGGACAGAATTAAGACAGAAAGAAAGAAAGACTGAATGCAGTTAAACACTTACAAATTTTAATGCATACCTGTTCAATCCATTTAAACCATATATTAAACAATATTTCTAGAAATATCAAAGCAAGTGCAATTAGCTTTCAATAAGATCTAGTCACAACATACTTTGTCAAACAGCAAAAGTACCTATATGTTCAACCAGATATTCATTTTAGTGTTGATTATTTAACACAGATGGGGGTCAAAGTGTGCATGCCATGAACATCTACACAGTGCTTTTCAACATGATATTATATATTTGACATCAGAGTTATAAAGAATTCATTTTTACCCTACATTTTTGATTTAGTGATAGTTCATAGCCGAGAAGATAAAATACCAGCTACAGTATACAGGAACACTGAAAGTTAAAATTTTCTCAAATTGAAAATGTATTTCCAATAATATGTACCTCACTCACACTACAGCTATTACTCGATTGCTAGGGTTCACTTCCTTTGCTCATCTAAGCATTGGTCTGATTTTTTCTCACTTGCCCAGTCTTTATTCCCCACTTAACTGCTCTTGACGATATCCGTCTCATGACACTTTCCACTTACATCAATGCCTCCTCTATTCTAGTACTGTACATAAGCACCTCATTCAGATAATATTATCACTTTTTTGAGACTGACCCAATCCGCAGACTCTAACACCAGTTCGTAGTGAGGAGAAAGGGCCGGAAAGTGCGAGTGGATGCAAGCACTATTGGAAATACCATTTTGATTTAAGAAAATGGTAAATTCGAAAATATACTTACCTCCTCTCATCCTACAGTTAGAATCCCACAATGAGAAGGTGGAGGGGCAGTTGAGAGCATTATCCATACAAAATGCATCTGCATAGATGGTGGGCATGCCAATAGAATATAGCACTCTAGTTGAGGAATTGCACTACATCCAGAACAGGTATGCTCTTCATCTGGAACCTACTTCATGCACTGCGGGTCAAAGTTGACACGATCCATCATCACCAGTGGCCAGGTCCCAACTAGGTAGCTGAGGTCCCACTGCTTGAGGTTGAAATTATAGGGCCAGGGTCCCTAAATGTTATATTGGTGGCTAGGGCATTGGATTGCAATATATATACACTTGTAAGTGGATCCCAACCTGTAGCTATTGAATGATGCATTCCAAGCCACAAGAATCATGACGAGAAGGTAAGCAACACCGAAGTGGACAGGCCCTCTCCTCAACCTGAAAAAGTCTGAAAGACAACACCCCAAACTCAGAATGATGGGATCCTGTATACCACACTCAATCTCAGGAAACAGAACTCATCCGGTCCAGAATTATGAACACTCATCCTCAATCTTCAATTGTGTAGGAAAGGTAAATTCCACTTGTTCCCAGAATTATGGAGAGGATGTGGAACAAACATCAAGGATCCAGGATGGGACTACTCTGCATTAAGAATTACAAGGAGACAATTGACCCTCTTCCATGAACAATGAACTGAACCAATATTGACCAAAAAGAAGAGCCATGTTCAACATAAACAGATAGCCGAATGTCAAATTTGAACTGGTATTACGAGTAGGCTTCCACGTAGATTAGGGGGAGAGATATGTACAGAGGAGCCCTGAGGAACAATGCTCTAGAAACAGTGCAATAAGTGAACCAAGTTCCTTAAATATTTAAAAGCAAGATGACCCCGTTTTATTCAATCCAATGATCAGCAGGGATGGGCAGGATCCCCTTATGCTTTACTCATTATAATCCACAAGTGGCAGTCCAACATACTACAGTAATACCACCCAGTCTGCCTCTAGTTGGTCTTATGAAACACCTCATTTCTACAGAGCTTGTTGCAACCAAGATAAAATATGTTTGCTAATGGTTCCTAGTGCAGAATAAGTTTGATAAAAGCCACCTACCTGGACAACACTCGCCACACAGTCGGATCCTGTGAGAAAGAGGTAAGAAACCCTGGAAAGTAGAGAAGAAACAATATTAGTAATGAAGATACTTACACCTTATAATCTAGTGGATGTGGTTAAAATAGCTGCAGGGGGTAGTCGAAAACCCCAAGAGGAAGATACTGCCAGATCATGCAAGTAATGTAAGATAAAAGTATTGGAGGAGGTCCACATACCAGTCTGCACAATATCCTCCAGCAGGCAATTCAACCAGGCTGCTAAGGACATAGAATTATAATGAATCTGATGAGACGTGACTCACAGAACTCTCCTCACTTCCAAACAGAGTCCAGAATAAGCAATATGAATCAACTTTCGTACCCACCTTGACAAAGTAAACTGGGGGTAAATCCCAGGAAAATGAAGGATCCCAATGAATAAAAATTCGTTGTCTAGCACCTCTAAAGGCATTAATGCAGGCCCTCACTGGACATAAGAAACAATCTGGATCCAACTGGTCATAAAGGTGAGAAATAGCAGTCAAGTGAATAAGGGAAAATGATTTATCTCCTTCACTAGCTGCCAGTGTCTGAGGTAAGAAGGACCTGTCTGGATATAGGAGGATGTAAGTAGAATAATAATGCATCCTGTGCATCTGCAGCTTAAACAACTCTGACTGGCGACATCCACAAGCAAGAAACAACAAAAAATAAACCTTATAGAAAAGGTCATACATGGAACACGAGGGTGAGGAACCAGAGACCAAAGTGCTGGTAGTTGAGTGTTCCAATAAGTGGCAAATGCATTGATCATTGATGTCCCAAACTGAGAGCAAATCCAATGGAAAACCTCTTAATGTAGCTTCCATTCTGTTTGGACAATCCAGTTGGGTCAAGACAATTGATCTGCCACCAAATTCATCACCCCTGGTACATGGCAAGCTAGTACGATGATACAATGGGAGTGGATCCCATAAAAGAGATTATAGTTTCAAAAACAAACAGCCTTGGACCAAGTGCTCTCTTAACAGGAAATGTAAGACACAACCGTAAAAAGTGAAGCATGACGAATTTACCTCTCAATAAGTCCAGGCCTTGAGACATTGCCCTTTGAACAGCAAAAAGTTCAAAAACATTGATATGGAGAGATACCTCTTTGTCTGTCCATAGGCCCTAGAATTCCTGAGTATTGAGATATGCATTCCATTTATGAAATGAGGCATCTGTGAAGAGATGGATCTCTGGATGAGGTGGTGGCAGAGGAATACCATTCATAGTATTGTTCTCATCCAACCACCACCCGAGATCAAAAATGTTGATACTGAATAAGAAGACTGGGGAATACAGATAATAACTGTTCATGAAAAGACCAATGAAGGGATCTCACATGCACTTGTCACAAAGGAATGATGGATTCCAGTGATGCCCACATCCCCAAAAAAGAAAAAACCATCCTAGCAGTGAAAGAAGGAGACGTAAGAGTTGGACTGCCTGTTCCATAGCATGGAGCCAGACGGGAGTCTGCCAAACCTGACTGAGATATGTGTTGAAAAAAAGACACCCAGATGGATGATAAATTGCAGTGTGAGAATTAGAGTGAGAAGAAATGTATTGGCTCTGATAAGAAATCCTGAATTGGTTGCCACAGAAAGCAGTATCTTAGTATGATGTTCTGCCAATTGATGAGATGGTGCTAGCAGTAGCCAAATGTCCATGTAATGGTGTGTGCACAGGCCCAGGGAATGGAGATGACAAGAAAAGATTCATATGATCTGGCCCAAAACACATAGGGAGCCGATGCTAGTAGAAAGGGCAGAGCCCAGAACTGCAGCTCCAGACCCTTTTGCACAAAATGCAAATAGTGGTGGGAAGACTCTGCTGTGGGAACATGTAGATAGATGATATTGAACTTGGTCATCCACATACATAGTAAAAAATGCCAATACAGAGTAAGGAATAACTCCATTGTGAACCTTGGAGGATTTTTAGGAACTGATTTAGAAGAGAAAGACTGAGGACTGGATACCAATCTCCCATCTTCTTGGGGACACTAAACTGACAGAAATAAAACCTGGAAGAACTTGGACGACTCCACTGCGTCCATGACCAACAAATCTCTGATAACCCTGGAACGAAGTTCCAAAATCTGTGGAAGGCAGAAACACTACAAACTTGGTGGATGATGGTGGTGAAAATGTGAATTGAATGATTAATCCTGATGCAAGGACCCATGGATCCATGATAAAATTTTTCTGCACGTCCAGAAATTCTCAGAGTCGAGCCCTCACAGAGCACAAAGTCATACATACGGTAATCACCTCCACCTCAGGAGCCATTCAGACCAAGTAAAAGAACCTTGTGGATGTAGACAGAATCTATTATGGGTACCAATAGACCAGGGGCTGATGTTGGAGGTCGGAACACTTGAATAGGGGTGAACCCCTGTAGGAGCTGAGGAAAGTCGAGAAGCCAAGGACAACAGGAATGAATATAGATGGGAAACATCAACCCTTGATTCCAAAGACTCTGGAATGCCTGCAAAAATCAAAGGTCAATGAAAGAAGGGCCCTCACATAACTCATGGAGGGTGGCAGCTGGTATTAGAATGCCTACCAACAATGTATCTCTACCCATCAAATCCTGACAACATACCAGCCAAAAGATTAGGGAAAGTGCAGAAACTGACAATTGAACCAAGGCAGTTGCTAACAATGGTCCCACCCCACATCAAATTGATGTGGTGATTGCTGTGAGGCTTCGGACAAAAGTTGGAGGAATGATGAATATCTGAGCACCATAGTTAGGGTCAGACAGTTCCTAGAAAATTGTGATTTATTCAGATTAACCAGGAGTGGGTCTATTCTTTGAGAGCCTAACTATATATCCACCTGGCAGTGGTAGGCTAAGCATGGTGTTCCAACTAATGTGGAAGATAAGGCATAACTGTCCCTTCATGTAACTGAGTAGTAAACCTCCCTGCATGAACTAAAATGTCAGGAGATAGAGTGAGAAATAAGTATTTGCCCTTAGACCTTTCTGCCATCAAGGAAGGTGCAGACTCAAAAGCAACCGAGGAAAGACTCAAAACATCACACACTCGACTTAACAACTGAAGAAAAGGAGCTGGAGGCAGCTGATTCCAATTTGGCCTCCTTAGAAGCCAACAGAAGAAAGGAAGGCACTAGAAAAAGTGTATCTAAATTGTCTCCAATACATCGAGGATCACTGTGCAGCCACAAAGCCCCTGGAGAAACACCAGTGGACCAAATATGTATCTTCATCTCACTAGGAATAAGTTCAGAGACAGCCTCAACTGCGCGTGACTCCTCCCTCCCAACTGTTGAGCGATGCTAGATATCAGAGGTGGGATAGGAGAGACCTGATTTGCCTCCAATGTTAGAAACAATAATCCGGGAATTCATGCCATTTATTGGCTTGTCAAATGGAATTTTGTTTTTAAACGAAAATAAACTAGCTAACACAAAGAATGCTCAAAATATCTCCAAAGGTCATAGTACAAAGAAACCCATTAGTGAATGCTTTGTTGAGAAAAAGGTTATAATATTATCTGAATGAGTTGCTTATATACAGTACCTGGATAAAGGGTGCATTGACATAGATGGAGAGTGTCATGAGACAGATATTGCCAAGGGCAATTAAGTGGGGAAAGACTGGAGCAAGTGAGAAAAAATTGGAACAATGCTTAAATGGGTAAAGGAAGGATTTTTTTTTGTTTGAAGTTAAGCACAAAGCTATACAATGGGCTATCTGTGCTCTGCCCACCACAGGTATTAAAACCCGGTTTTTAGCATTGTAAGTCCGCAGACATACTGCTGTGCCACTGGGGGCAATAAAGGAAAGAAACCCAAGCAGTCAAGTAATAGCTGTAATGTGAGAGGAGGTAAGTATGTTTTGGAAAAAAATGTATATATGCAGTTTGGAGGTTCTATAGGTTATAAAAATACAATTTGCAAACTGTATATATGGATAAAAGCATTTCTTATTCTTTACATGAACATCACCTTGCACTTCAACTTATCTATATAAGTACTGTAGACATGGAATCAAAACAGAGATTTGTAGCTTGAGAATTTAATGTAAACACTAATTCCAGCCTAGTTGTTTACTTTTTTTTTTAGATTCCCTAGTTGTAGGCTTGAAAATATAATCTTTGCATTTTGTTTCAACATATGTCTATTTTTTTTTATGGTCCCTATTCCCCTTTTAAATTAACAAATTTTAATTATATTGTTTATACTTATATCCTGTCTCTGTTAGTCAAAGAAATATAATGACTAGACAGTAAGCATCTTGGTGATACTGATCAGCAACAAGTTGAAACAATAAATTAAAACAGCATTTATGCATGTGCATACTATTAAAATAATTGCACAATAAATAATTTATTAAAACAAAGGGTTCAGTTTTAATAAATCATTTATTGCACAATTATTTTAATGTTATACTCCTTTTGATAGTATAAATTGAAATAAGTTTAGAAAATATTTATATGAATTAATTATTCAAATCACCTTATTCTTTAGCAAAAAAATATTTCTTAGTCAGGTTGGTTCTGCACAGGCAAACAAACTAGTTTTTATTTTGGTCTGAATTACTCTAAATGATTAAAGATTTTACCATTCTCGTGCAGAAAGGTTGTTGCTTGGTTCAGTTCAGCCATGTCTCTAAAGGCTATGTTAAATCTTTGCTGCATTTCATGCATCACCAGCATTCTGTGAAAATCCACAATTTCAAAAAATCATTATGACAAAAAAAAACATTTGTCAACTCAAAACCAAACTAACAAGAAGAGTGTAATATTTGTCTCTTTATGTTTTGAATATTACAGTTTAAAAGCTAAAAATCCACAATTTCAAAAAATCATTATGACAAAAAAAAACATTTGTCAACTCAAAACTAAACTAACAAGAAGAGTGTAATATTTGGTTCTTTATGTTTTGAATATTACAGCTTAAAAGCTAAAAATTCTTTTAACTAAGTCAATCATTACTAGGTGAGCAGTATATATATATATATATCAGATTAATCTTCAATAATTGGACATGTATATCAGGGCAACCACTGTTAGATGGCCAATACATATATGGAATGTGAATCATCATTACAGAGATGAAAGTGTCTCTTTCCTAAAAATCCTGAAAATAATCGAAGCCAAGTAAGGGAGGTCCGGCACCCAAAATCCTGCATTTTGATGC